TCTCAACCCCAACGACTTATATTCCCTTCTATTGATTTACACAAATAAATAAATCCAAATAAACCTAAGCTTTGATACCAGTTGTTAGGGAAAATATAAGATTTCCCACAAGTAAATCAATTAATGGGAATAAAAACTAATGGGGAAAAATTAAATCAATAGCAATACAAGAATTTTACACGGTTCCCTCAATGTGAGGTACGTCTACAGGATCAAAATCCAATTCCACTATCAACCAAAAAAAGTTTCCAAACGATTACAAACAAGACACGAATGGTCTCACAAACCACCCTTAGGTGAATTTCAAATAATCATAAATAAACAAGAGGAAAGATCTCACCAAATAAATGAACAAAAGTTTTCAAAATAGAGTTGTAGAAGACCCAAAATAGCAACCCAAATCAATCTCCACTGAAACAACCAAATATTCACCAACTTGATTCTACACAAAACCAGTACCCTTGAATATGCACCCAAGAATCAATGTTGGATGCCGCTCCACTCAACTTCGGGAAAAATAAATTAATTAGGGCAGCCTTTTTTTTTTCCATAGAGAAACAAACACAATACCAATATATATTGTGAACTCTTAGGCTTTTTAACAAAACCCTAGCTACTACCATTAGGCTTTCAAAAATCAGATATAATATATTTAAAATATATTATAACTAACACCAAACAAAACTAAATATTTTAATAAATCAATTGGGTCCCATACTCCAATAAAGGGTATTCCCAACAATCGCACCATTTAAAAATGATTTTTTTTTTGGAAGGGGGGCGGTTTCAATCGAAAGTTTCATTAATAGAAGATAGGAAGGTTTGTACAACTAGTTATCCATCAAATTGCAAAGATTCAACAAGTTGGGTATCCGTCAAATTCCAAGATGAACTCTAAACCCCAACAACACACTACCTAACAAACCTGTAAGCCACACCATTACTTCCACACCTCACAAAACAAAATTGTGAACAATATATCTGTCGCCAGAACTGGCAGATATCCTTGACTAAAACCTCAACCTCTTAATGGGACACTATTTTACTGGAGAGCATAGAAATCACTCCTTGCACATCACCTTCAAACATCACAGATTGAAATCCCAGCTCCAACTCCAACTCTAACTCCAACGCCAAATATACAGCCTTTCTCGCAGCAAGACACTTCAAGACATGCATCGAGCTACAACTTATGGCTAGATCCACAATGTTAGCAGCTTGGAATAAGCCTGTTGAATCTCAAGCTACAATTCCTAAGCCACCTTTGGAGGATGGGCCTAGCCAATGGTTCCATCCTTATGTGAAATTTTCATTCCAATGCCGCTAGTATGGCTTGTGCTTGTGGAAACCGCAGTCTGCATCACCTGAAAAAGATTTCCAATAGAGTTCTGAAAAAGAGTGCCATTTCGGCACTTCCATATGTTCCATATGATATAAGCTGCAACTGCCACTCCTGTTCGCCCGTCTTCATTTGTATTCGTAGCATTCATGATATCGCTCCATCAGTAGAAGAATGATTGTTTATCAAAGAAGTCCACATTCAGCCAAGAAAGAGATGAACACCAGACTGCTTGAGCAAGAGGGCAATCTACCAACACGTGCAGGAGCGTTTCAGCCTCATGTTGACACAATGGACAACACATCCTCGACCAACCTTCGTTGCACATGCAGGGATTTAATAAGAACTATTTCTTTGCAACATCTCCATAGAAAGTGTAACTTTGCCTGGCACCAGAATATGCCACAATCCGTGGCAGAGCCAGAAAAATAATTTAGGAGGGACACTTGTTAATTAAAATTTTGAAATTTTTTTTCCATAATCAATAACAATAGATAATAATTTTTAAATTAATATTACGCCCAAAAAATATTAAATATTTAATATAAAATTTTTAAAATTTTTGTTTTTACAATTGACCTTGTGAAAAATCAAAATTAGAAATATATAGTGTTACTTGGAACTAGTATATTATAGGCAATGCAAAATAGACTTGTATGTCTTATAATAGATTATTTAATAATATATATATAATAGTGATACCACATTATCATCGATATATAATATCACTAATCAATAGTAAAATAACGCATGGAAGGTCAATCACACTTGTTAAATATAATTAACAATTCAATACTTTTTCATTTTTATAGTGGGGTTAGTGATGATTTGATATCACTGTTGCACTAATTTTTTTTAATAATGTGGTTTGTTATAATTTTTTCATTTTCAATCAAAACAACTATAATTATTTTCGTAATTTGAAAAATGTCATTAAAAAATCATTCTAAATGTTATTTCTATATAAATTTTTTATTGGTTAATTATTTTCCTCATATGAAAAAAGAAAATTTTTTTGCAAAACTTGAGAGAGGGCACATACCCCCCTAGCCCCTTCATAGTTTCACCACTGGCCACAACGACTTCCAGGGTGTTTTGGAAATGTGGTTAAAAGTTATTTTTTGATTTTTTTTTAACTTTTTTGTGAGAGAAGAAAGTAGATTAAAAACTAAAAAGTAACTTTCAACCTACTTTCCAAATAGCAATGCTAGGTATCATGAAAAACCTTTCATGAAAATAATCATGAAAGCTTTGTGACCCTTGAATTACACTTAAAATAAAGCACTACACACTAATCAAGGTAATCCAAGAATTATAAATCTTTTATGATCATTTTCATAAAAAAAATTTCCCTAACTTTTTCCACTTTCCAAAATGGGCCTTCATAAGGACTTTAGCTCCTCCCCTGCCAATACTATCTCCCTCTCTCCATCTCCCAAGCAAGCCATTCCTCTTCAGCATCATTGCAGTTTCATAACCTGAACCAACTGCGTAATCCCCCGAATCAGTGTAATGCCAAACTAACTTGTCCACCACATCCGAAACAAGAAGTAGCGTATTCATAATTAAACTAGCATCCTCCTCCTGAAACCTTCTCACCACCTCCTCTTCTAACCAACAACAATTTACATGGCCACTTTAGAAATCTGGGAATCACGCTGTATAGCAGTATGGAAAAAGGTATCCAGTTTCTAGGCAGCCATCTCAGTCAGGTTTATTTTCTTGCCATCTCCCACCATCCATCAAACACTAGCTTCCAGTAGGCTTCACCAAATCCAAGATGGACCCCTAGTTTGGAGTCCAGAAAAGATCTGTCTTGGCTCCCAAAACGCGATACAAGAGTAGACCCCCCAGGCAGAATTTTCCAGCCTTGTTTTGCAAGCAAAGTTAGATTATGTGCTTCAAGGTCACAGAAACCCAATCCACTCCTAGTTTTCTTCTCAGCAAGCTTATCCCACTGCAGCTTGTGCATCCTCCGCTCATCTCCCTTTTGACCCCACCAGAAATTCACTATAATTACTGTCGCCGGCTTATATTAAGGGCTAGTTTGGCATATACTAAATAAGTCAAAAAGTCAAAAAGTCACTATCTTATTTAAATCACATCATCTTATTTAAATCACATCACCTCTCTAACACATCACATCAAACTCAATCCAAACCCAACCCAAACCCACCAATAAGTCAAAAAGTGCACTTTTTTAGGACATCTCAAACCAACCCTAAATAACAGGAAGTTAAAGCAACTCATAGCATAGGAGAAATTTACGACGTGTATCTTTCGAGAGATGCACATTATAAAAAAGTTACAAGTTTTTTTTTTTTTTATGAACGTTATAATTGTTTATAATGCGTGTTATGATATTTTGTAATAAAGTTATAAATAGTGAATTCATGATGTACACTCTAAAGTTAAGAATGATAATGTTATGACATTTTGTGATTTTTGTTATGACATTTTGAGATTTTGTTTTGGTTTCAATTTTTTGAATTCAGTTTTTTGAAAATTGAGTTTTTTGTTTTTCGTATTTTTTTGTTTTTAGTTAATACTTTTAAAATCTTAAACATCTTTTTTATTTTTTTAGATGCACCTTACTTAGATGTATTTAAGAAGTGAAATATTTGTGAAAAATATTTTAAAAAATAAATAAATACACAAAAATAAAAAAAAATATATTGAATTTTCGTATTTTTTTGTATTTTTGGTATTTAGTGAATTTTTCAAATATTTTTTTCATAAAAATTATACTTTTTAAATATATTTATATTAAGTGTGCCTAAAAATTTAAAAAATTGCTTAAAACATTAAAAAAAAATTCAATAAAGAAAAAAAAATACGAAAAATAAGAAAATAGAATTTTCTGAAAAGTGTCTTCAAAAAAACTGAAAATAATATATGACTTTCGTAATGAAAAAGTTCTAACATTTTGGGTTAAATTATGAAATTTGTGAAAAAATTATGAAAAGTATATTATATGCACTTTTTTAAGGGTGCATATTGTAATATCTCCCACGTAACATAAGATGGTAGCGCAAGGGCTATTATATGCACATTCTGTTAAATTGAAATTTTGTGTTTTAGTGGTTTGCAATGCATGTTCATACTTGAACATTTCATTTTATCTGTATAAATATTCAATAAAATATATAAGTGATATATGCTCTCTAGTGAACTACTTTAAAATTCCAGTTCAATTCATGAATTAACTCACTTTGAGTCTATTGCATCTGTAATTATATTATGTATAGTGATATATGCTCTCTAGTAACTACTTTAAAATTCCAGTTCAATTCATGAATTAACTCACTTTGAGTCTATTGCATCTGTAATTATATTATGTATAGTGATATATGCTCTCTAGTGAACTACTTTAAAATTCCAGTTCAATTCATGAATTAACTCACTTTGAGTCTATTGCATCTGTAATTATATTATGGAATATATTAATTTAATAATACTATGATGTCATTCGTGCATCTCTGTTGCAATGGGAGTGCTTGACAAGTGTTTTTTTAAAGTTTTTTTGAATTAAAATTTATAAAAATAAAAAAAAATAATTAATAAAATAAAATATTACATTAAATTCATAATTATTTTATTTATTTTTTAATCAACATTACATCTAATTAAAAAAAAAAAAAAAAAAACTAAAATAGCGTTTCCAAACATCAAATGGTTGGAATATGAAGGGCATTTATGTGCCTGTGAATTTCTTGCACTAAATGGTTCACAAATTTACAGATTTTTTTGTTCGTGGTTGGATTTGGGAGTTTTATTCTTAGTTCTCTACTGGGGGCTTTTCAGTTCCGATGTACAAACAGCTTCAAAGATTATTCTTTGTTGGGTTTTCAGTTCCGATTTGCAATTTTGGCTTCCAAGTACCAGTCAGAGCTTTTTATTTGTGCAGTCTTGGTGTTTTGTGTTGCTATTCTTCGGGTAAGAATCGAGGTTTTTTTGGGGGAGATGTGTTTCTTGTATTCTTCCACTTTTGTATTTTCTGATTTTATGATGTGATGAATTATTTTGCTCTTTTATTTAGTACATGGTTTGTCTATATACTTCGTTCTTGATTATGATCCTAATTTTCCTTTCTTTTTCTGTTGTATTGTTTTGGTTTTTATACATGTACATCAACATTGATATGGAGAAGTGAATAGAGAATACGAACTACAGCTTCGAGGTAATTTGCACTTCATTTCACTTTCTGATTTTTTTATTTTCTGATAGGATTTTCATTACAAATTATTTTGGTTTTAATTGCATGTATGCTTTGTTGTTCATTATGATCCTAATTTATTTTTTGTTTGTGTTGCTTGGGTTTTTGTATTCAGCATTGATATGGAGAGATGAGTTTTTCATTTATAGCTATTATTGGGTTTTCTTCTTCTTTTTCTTGTTTTGATCTAACTATATTGAACTTCTTTTTTGTTTGATTTCAACTTTGGGTTGCATTTGTTATTTGCTAATTTGATCTTTGTGTATTTATCATCTTTTTATTCTTCATTTTGATTATATGTTGCTTTGTTTCTGATCTTATAGGTATCTCTTGCTTATTTTTGTTTATTTATTTTAAAATAATGTTTTCATACTCTCTGGTTAGCTTGCCCTTCTTTGCCATTTGCATTTTCATGTTCTTTTTCTTCTATTGATCTAACTATTTTTTGAATTACTTTTTGATTTCAACTTTGGATGTGTTCTCTTCTTTTGTCAGATACTTCTATTTTCAAATAAGGTATTGTTTTGGTTAGGGTTGTGGGAATATTTATCTATTTATGTGGAAATATATAGATCTTCATCATCTTGCCAATGCAGAGATCCATTGGGAAGTTGTGCGAAATAAAATGGCTGGTATGGGAGATTTCATCTTACTTATTTTAGCTCTTTTTTTTTTTGGATAAAAAATCAAACATTATAGAAAAGCATCAAGGCGATGCAAAGAATACAAAAAAGCAACCCACATAGGGCTGAACACCTGACTACTCAAATTCTCCACGAAATCTACAAAAGCCAATACATTAGGATCAATTGAACCAGTAACCCAACTATGCAAAATCAACAAAAGCCTACTCTCTAACCAAGGCACTGAATGACACACATATTGGAAAACATGCCTATTCACTCCAACCAGACCAACCAAAGCAAGCAATGAGAAGCAAGAAGCCAAGCCTTCCGTCGCCTTTTAGCTCTTTTTAAGTTAAGCACTATTGTGTTTGTTATTTGCTAATGCGGTCTTTAAATGTTGCTCTTCTTTTTATTTTGTATTTGGATTATGTTTTTCTTGGTTTGGTTCGGAGTTAATGGTTATCTCAATATCTATTGCTTGAGTTTTAACTTCAGATCCATCGAGTTCTTGTATGTAATATATCTTGTTTTTACTCAGGTATAAATTGAGGGCTTTGTTTTTTTGGATTCGATTTTATGTCGTATTTTTAAAAATAAATTAATCAAGGTTTTTGGTGTTCAGATGGTCATGCAGAAATTAATTGGTGACATGCGTGAAATGCCAATGACCTCTGGATTAATTGGTGACATGCATCATATTTTTTGTTTATTTCTATCAAAGCCATTATATAGTCTCATGTTCAAATTTATGGATGTGCTGTGAACAAGAATGTAGTTAGTTTTTTCTTTTTATTGTTGTCTATCTGTTTTATTTATTTATTTTCACGTCATAATCGTCTAAATGCTTTCTTCATACATCATATTCAACTTTACAAAAAAATGGAACTGAAACTGAAATTACCTGTAATAAGCACTAGGGTGCATGTCTGCATGCTTCCATCTCACTAGCACTCTATTTAAAGCGTGGATGTAATTTCAGCCCCATGAAATGTCTTTTATGCCATTCTTCTTTGTTCTGTTTCTTTCTTATGCTTGGGGGCAATAACCAAAATCCTGGAAAAATATCTTCTCTTGTGGTTTAAAAACAAGAAATCTAGTCAATGTGGGATTTAGATAGAATGATTCAGATGAAAGATTTCTTATTTTCAAGGGACTTCTTGGTGCACACTATTGTGACCTAAGCTTAATCAGTGAATTAGTTATTGGAGAGGGAAAACTTGGTACTAAAAGGATCAGCCCAATATTAATTTGGAGGTGGTTCTTCACAAGGCCCAATTGGTGGAACTGTTTGGTGACCCAAATCTGACTGCTGTTGTAGCCCAAAGGGCTATTGAGCTAGGAAGTGATCATGTGGTTACTAATGAGTCAAAAAGAAAGGGTACATATGGAAAAGATAAGGCAGTAGTAAAAGGGAAAGGAGACCAGCAGCAACGAAAGTGGTGAAGAAGAAAGGAATGCTTTTGGGTTCAGTTCCTGTAAGAAGCTTCTCGAGGGGGGCCATTTGTAGAGCTGCAGTGTCAGCTTTATCCCTCTCATTACCGCAGAAAAATGGGGCAAGTAGAAGGGAGCTGATTCGGAATGAAGCTCGGGCAATGGTGCATATTGGAAATCTGTTGGGTATGAATTGCAAAGGCAACGAGCTTGAGGTCATTAATCGAATTATGGAAATGGAAGTTAATGATCAAGGCAAGTTTGGGGATTGGGAGATGGTTGCTCCATCTTGAGTAATCGTTAAAAAGGGTTCCAGGTATAGATTGTTTGTTGATATGAAGATTATATCGTGGAATATTAGGGGGTTGGGTCGGAAACAAAAGAGGGGCAAAATTAAGAAGCTGGTTCGAAGTAGAAGTGTAGATGTGCTGTTATTACAAGAGACAAAAGGAAGTAATGTTGATGAAATGTTCGTGAAATCAGTGTGGCCTTTTGAATTGATGCAGTTTATGGCAGTGGATTCGGAAGGTAGTGCTGGAGGTTTGTTTTGTGTTTGGAACCCAGTTGCCTTCAAGTTGGTTGAGTGTTGTAGCTCAAGGAATTTCTTACTGCTATCAGGTACATTTAATCACTCTTTTGACTATGTAGTTGTTAATAATTATGCACCCAACGATGGGAGTAGTAGAGGCATGTTGTGGGACTCTCTGGTTAGGTCGAAGCCATCTTTTGGGAACCCTTGGTGTATTGGGGGGGATTATAATGAAATAAGATATTTGAGTGAAAGACGGGGTTGTTTGCGAAGAGACAAAGAAATGTTCAAATTTAATGAGTTTATTGAAAAGATAGAGTTGTCGGACTTGCCATTGCTTGGTAGGGAGTTCATTTGGCGTAATTTAGTGGATGGTGAGAGGTGGAGCAGGATAGATAGATTCTTACTGGAGTTTGAATGGTTGGAAGTATTTCGGTTGAAGCAATGGGGTCTTCCAAGGAGTGTCTCTGACCATTGCCCGTTGCTGCTCATGGAAGATGCTAGGAATTGGGGCCCTAGGCCATTCAGATTCATAAATGTTTGGCTTCTTCATTCAAATTTCAAGGTTATGGTCAATAAATCTTGGGAGGTGGCTGATGTATAAGGGTGGGCCGGGTATAGACTGAAGGGTAAATTATCGAAGCTCAAGATGGATCTCGGAAAATGGAATGTGGAGGTCTTTGGAAATGTTGAGAATCAATTAAAAGCTGCAGAGGAGGAGCTTCATGAAATTGACCTAAAAGCTGAAGGTGGGCCTCTTCAGACCTTGGGGACTACTAGAAGGAGAACTTTGAGAAGCTTAGTCTGGAAGTTCAGTAGGAGATTAGAATGGACGTGGCATCAAAAGTCTAGACTAAAGTGGGCTCAAGATGGGGATAAGAATACACGATATTTCCATGTGATGGCGAGTAGAAGGCAAAGTAAAAGTGTGCTGGATTCAGTCAAGGAGAATGGGGTGATCATTGAGGATCTAGTTAGGGTAAAACAAGTTGTGTTTAGACATTTCAGAAAAGTATACTCAGAGGGATGGAGAGGTAGACCAGAGTTGGAGGGGCTTTTTGTTACTACAGGAGTTGATGGGGCAGCAAGGGAGCTGGTAACTGATTTCTCGGAGGAGGAAGTGTGGGCTGCTATGAAAGATTGTGATGGGAATAAAGCTCCAGGGCCAGATGGGTTCAATCTAGCATGCGTTCAGAAGAATTGGAAAGTAATGAAGGGTGATATTCTTCAGTTTATGGATGAGTTCCATGAGAATGGGAGATTGGCTAAAGGGCTGAATAGCTCATTCATCGCTCTTGTTCCCAAAAAAGACAACCCAGTGGATTTGGTGGATTACAGGCCAATTAGCTTGGTAAATTCGATGTACAAAATTATGGCAAAGGTTTTGTCTCAAAGATTGAAGAAGGTTATGCCTGGGTTAATAAGTGAGGTGCAGACTGCTTTTATAGGTGGAAGGTGTATTCTTGATGGTGTCATGATTGCAAATGAAGTTATAGAATGGTGGAAATCTACAAAACATAGAGGACTGATTTTGAAGCTTGATTTTGAGAAGGCCTATGACTTAATAAACTGGGATTTTTTTTTTCTCAATGTTGTCTAATTTTGGATTTGGAGAGAAATGGCTTGGCTGGATTAAGGAGTGTTTATCTTCAGCTAGGATTTCAGATCTGGTAAATGGATCACCCACTGATGAGTTTTCACCTCAAAAAGGGTTAAGGCAAGGGTACCCACTATCACCATTCTTGTTTAATCTAATGGCTGAGGGCTTGAACTTGTTATTGAGAAGGGCTCAGCAATTGGGGCTATTCAAGGGAGCTACTGTGTGGTCTAATGGTATGAGTGTCTCCCATTTGCAGTTCGCCGATGACACAATCATTTTCTGTGAAGCTGATTCAGAGGAGATAGTTTCAATTAAAAGGGTGCTTAGATGCTTTGAAGTGATGTCTGGCCTAAAGATAAACTTCCATAAAAGTGTTGTGTGTGGGGTAGGTGTTTCAGATAGGGAAGTGTCAGATTTCGCAGCAGTTCTGAATTGTAGAATTCACAAGCTGCCTATTGTGTACTTGGGTATACCCTTGGAGGCTAATCCAAGAAGACAGTCAACTTGGCAACCAGTAATTGATAAAGTAAGGAAAAAGTTGTCTTTGTGGAAAAGGAAGTTGTCTTTCGCAGGTAGGCTAACACTGATAAAATCGGTGGTGTCTTGTTTACCTTCTTACTACATCTCTATTTTTAAGATGCCTAAGGGAGTGGTGAAAAAAGATTTGCCTAAGGGAGTGGTGAAAACATTTAAGAAACTGTAGGCTCTGTTTTTGTTAAGGGGAGTGAAATAGGGAGGAAAGTGCATTTAGTAGGGTGGATGGAGGTTTTGAAGTCTAAGAGTCAAGGTGGTTTAGGGGTGAGAAGCATCGGTGATATGAATGCTAGTTTACTCTTGAAATGGTGGTGGAGATATGGTGTTGAGGATGATGCATTGTGGAAGACAGTAGTGTGCAGCATCTATGGAGAAGAGGGTGGCCTGTGATAAGGGTTGAGGGTAGAGTTTCTCCAATTTGACAAGGTATATTGAGTATTGCTAAAGATAACCCACTGCTGGTAGAGTTTTATTTGGAAAATGCAAGAGTGAGGATTAGGAATGGGGAAAGAACCAAATTTTGGTTTGATAAGTGGTGCAACAATAGAGTGCTAAGTGAGGAATTCCCAAGATTGTTCCAGTTATCAGAGGACAAGGAGGATTCCGTCATGCAGTATAGGCAGAGAAGAGCAGGGTCAGGACTGTGGATTTTGAGGTTCCGAAGACAATTAAGAGCCTGGGAAGAAGAAGAAGAAGGTAAGCAGATTGTGTGAATGGTTGAATGATGGCCCTTCTGAGAGAGGGAATTTGGTTGATTGTTTGCATTGGGAGGTGAATTCTTCAGGACAGTTCACAGTGGCATCTGTATGGAAATGGCTTCAAGCTGATAGGGGGCCTGATCTGTGTATTGCTAAAAGGTTGTGGAAGTCTGTGGCACCACCAAAAGTGCAGTTCTTCGGGTGGCTAGCCTGGAGGGGAAGAGTAATGACAGCTGAGTTTTTACATAGGATTGGTGTGTTGGATGATCAGTTGATTCTGTTAGTCATGTTTTACTTCATTGCCCACGGTTGTGGAGGGTTTGGTCTGCATTAGTAAGCTGGTGGGATATGTGTTGGGTGGTACCATGTTCAATTGAAGCTTTGTTACAATGGTGGGTTGGGGTGAAACTCAAGAAGAAGGAGAGGACAATCTGGAATTTGGTGCCACTAGTAATGCTGTGGTCAGTGTGGAAGTTGAGGAATGATAAGGTGTTCAATGGGGGACATCCTAATTTTGCTGATCTGGTGGATATAGTGAAGTCAAGGATAGCTTTTTGGGCAAAGAGCAACATTACAGGGGTGCAGTACCCAGTTCATGATCTAGTCATAAACTTGAATCAGGTTAGACAGCGTTTGGGGTGAGGGTGCTGTTGGGTCCTGTTGTGGGTGTGTTACTGGTGGGGCTTGTGTGCTGATTCTGGTTGAGCAGCAGGAGTAGCAGTGAGATTAGGAGCTCTGCTTCTGCTGTTGCTGAGGCTGTGATGCTGAGTTGCTGCTGTTTATGTTGCTGTTAGTGTTGTGGAGCAGCTGTTCCTGCTGTTTGTTGATGATTAGCAGTTGTTTGCATGGAATCGTTTGTTGGACTTTGCTGTTGTTGTTGAGTGCCTGCTGTTTGCTTGTTTGTTTTTGCTCTGTATGTTGGCTACTCACCAACTTGGAGCTTGGTGTTGGTGCTAGCAGATGATTGGGTGTGCATCTTGGTGCCAACCTGGTTGGGATCTTAATGTTTCTCTGTAATGCTTTTTGCACCTTCCTCTTTATTGATGTATTTTATCATACATTGTATGTTTTTTTCCATCAATAAAGCTTTCTTTTTGCTGATAAAAAAATGTATGCATTCAGGTGGTACGTGATCAGCTGGTATATCTTTAGTTCTTGGACATTATGTGGTCGCAATACAATAAACTTATTAAATCCACCTTCATAAGGATTGTGTTGGTTCATCAAGAGATGCCAAACCCCAACCAGCCATTTTCCTTTAGTAATTAACACACAAGAGTAGCGTAGTTAAAGTTCTGCATGATGATTAAGATATACACATTTTGCTTTAGTAATTAACACATGCTATTTGCAGTTAAAATTCTACATGATTATTACTATCATGTTTCAATATGTACATGTTGCTTTAATAATAATGGCCCCGTTTGGTAGAGCTGTGGGAAAGTGATTATAACTTATAGCTTATAACTGTGAACATAAGCTGATTTTTGACTTATAAATTAAGCTTTTCCTCCCCCACTCAAAGAATAAGTTGATTTTTGACTTATAAAAAGCTATAAGCTGTATTGTTAAGTCGAACCAAACATATCAAAATAGCTTAAATTAAGCTAAAAGCTGGAATAAGCTGGAAATAAGCCCTACCAAATAGGGCCAATACCTCCTCAAAAAAGTTGTAGTTAAAATTATGTTTGTGACAGTAACTATCCCTGTATGGTAATGTGGAATCTGAATCTTTCCTTTACGAAAGTTATTGTGCATATGGTTTATCGACAGATATGCATACATGAACACACTAGATATTGTTATTACCATTCTATTATTCTGTTTAAAAATTTGAAGAGAGAATGCTCCATAGACAAACTTTTTTTTGTCACACCATAAATGCCACAATGCCTTCAATATTGTCCTTAATTTGCAATTGTAACATTCTGCATCTTATAGTGATTGATGAATTTGTGTGTCTATGTTCACTGAGGCTTGTCATGTTGCAGGATTCACCAATGTATATATAAACTGTGCAGTTCCTTGCCTTGAGTGCCTTTGGTGCTCCACAACTTGTAATTGAACTTGTTGCACGAAGAACTTTTTGAGGACTTAAAGGTACAAAACCCCCCTGCATGTCATGGGCAAGTGTTACAGCATGTTAATAATCTACTTGTTAGTGTGCTTCTTAACCATTAGTTAGTTACATCAGAGGTTTTATATATCGGATATCCTAACCATTGCCATGTGATTCATGAATTGCGTATAATATCATCAGTTAGCAGTCAACCTTTACAAGTAAATTTATTTTAGATGTATTTCTCGTCACACGTATGCTTATTATCTTATGGAAAAACATGTACTTGATGTACGCTATTGATCTGCACTCAATTTATTTTTGAATAAGATGCATTGAATATGCTGTGTCACTTTGTTGCCAACGTAGTTTTTCTTTTACTTTATTTTATTTTTATTTTTATTTTTATTTTTATTTTTATTTTTATTTTTATTTTTATTTTTTAAATTAAAATTTTTAACTACTCTTTAATAGCACAAAAAATTGCGATCGAATCAATCATAACCATCATGTTCAATCTGCTTCATATCATTTTGTTTTCAAAATTTTTTGAACAAATTCTTTAGTAGCACAGTTCACACTAATCGCTGGGATGGATTATAATTTGGATTAGTTATTGACTAAATTTAGGAGCCAGTCCTTAGAAATTATTAGTTTTGTTTACCACTAAACTTTTGCTTCCGTTATGCAGATAAAAGGTATAAATAATAGTTCAATGGGCAAGTGTCCTCCAGTTTGAATCTCATTGGTTGGTCTGGCTTTGAAGATAGTATCAGATGATGATCCAATGAGGAAAAATCTCCTTTTGGAAATGGGACTTTCTCGAGAGACTGAGAAATTAATTTTACACCTCTACTTATTAATAGGGAAATAATTTAAGTTGATTTTATTTTCCTGAATTCTAAAATGGATTTGATTTGATGAATTAGAAAACAACTTTATTAGGAATTGTTTGGGTCAGGCACTAGGTCGCGTGCAAGGCAGCCACCTCATTAGTATATATATAATAAGCATGGATTGCTGCTGAACAGTAAATTTTTGTCCCTTGTCAAATTATTTATTTGCCCTTTTTGCTTTTAGTCTCAAATGCTTTACACGGTATAAAAGGAATAATATGAGGATTGTAAGTGCAATTTCGTTGTGTGGGTGGGTTGAAAAGCAGGTATTTTTTAGGGGTGACCATTGGTTTAATGGTCAAGACTTGGCCTAATAACCTTGAGGTTATGGGTTCAAGTCTTTGGACCACCACTTTACGCTTTATGCTAAAGGTTAGGTGTGTACTGAATCTTTCCCCTCCCAAACACACATTAATGTGTACTTATTGGGCGTTGTTACTTTCCTTCGTTCTTGTGTGCGTCTGCATATTGTCCACATCGTGCAGGGTAGTTTCGGAAAATACAAAATCACAGGAGATCTCATCTTTAGGTGATTTTATTTGCACATCACATTTTGTCACAGTACATATTATGTGTATAGTTTGAGTATCGACTTCTGAACAAATATAAATGTTTGGATATCTACTTTCTAACAAAATATAATATTTAGATATCAATTATTGAATAAGATTTTTGTTTAAACAATTAATTTTTGTTCAAAAGTTGATATTCTAAGATTTTGTTTTTGATCGAAAATTGATATTCAAACCGCACAAATGATGTTTACTAAGATAAAGCATGGTGTGTGAATAGAATTACCCCACCTTCATCTCAGAATCACAAACAGCTGGCCTTTCCTCCGTCTCTTCTTTTCTCTTTTCCTCTTCCCTCTCTTTCTTCCGTGTCTTCTTTCTCTTTTCCTCTTCCCTCTCTCTCTTCTATAATCTAGGTTAAATCTTTTCCGGAAATTTTTTGGATCATTCAACTGGAACGACGGAAAAGATTCATTTTGGCTACCCACTCAGGTCGCTGGGTTTGAAACCAAGTCCCGATCATCAGCATCAGCTCCTCAACATCAGTTCTTGGGTTTCCCTCATCGCTCTTGATTGCTACTTAAATTGGTATCATTCTGATTGATGGTTGCTTTGCCAGGTAATGATGCCTATGCTGTTTTATTTGGTTTCTCTTTCTGGTATTATTCATTTGAGATAGGATTTCTTGGTAACCATGGCTTCGTTGCAGATATCTGGTTTGTGATGTGCTCTTCTTGAATGCTTAACTTTTCCTTGTATTTTTTTCTCCTGCTTTAGACTTTCTGGTTAGACTATAGATCTACTGAAGTTAATTGTACTGTTGTTTATAAAGTCCAACCCTGATTGGTCTATGTAAATATACATTCAAGATATTTGCTTAATACAAAAAATGGTTTTCTATTTTATTTATACTGATAATGACTATTTATTATAATGATATTAAAATAAATCTTGTAAATTCTGTTCGATTGTATACCACATTTGTACATTTATTTTCATTCATTTTTTACTTTAATTATTTGGATTCCATAAACGCTGGTCTTCTGCTTGCAAAAATTGCATAGACAATGGTATGATTTTGTCGTTTCTCGCTATTTTTTATGACCTTGTCTCATTTTGATCTTTTCATCCTGCTGTGTTCAGTAGTGAGATCAGGATTACAGCTGGATATATTTGGTGTTTTCTGTAGTATCCAGTATACATTGATGCATATATTTATGTGCAGACCAGTTCAGTTATCGATCGTTTGCTTCTATAGCAGTATATGATTTTTTTTGTCAATTGGTTACATACTACCTCTGCGAGCTGATTACAAGTTTGGTCTAATATTATATTAAGTTTTCTGGTGATTTTTGTCAACTTGAGGTAATTTGAGAATTAAAAGCACTGTTCTTGCTTTGTTATGTGAAACATTGCTCTTGGATTCTTTTTTGACTACTTCTAAAGCAAGAGTAATTGGAGAGATCATGAAGAGCCTCAACGGAGTTAGTAAGCAATGTTATGATGAGGGTTGGACAGAACCAGAGGCCGCTCAATCTCTTTAAATCATTTTTACATTGTAAAATTTTTATTGAAAATTGATTTTTCAGACATTTCAAGAAGCAAAATTACTAATTAATTTTTTGTACTTGAGATTTCTAACATTATTTTTAATTGATATTAATACCTAATTTTCCCTTTTTTTTGGGTGTGTGTGTGTGTGTGAGATATAATCAATCTTAAGTTGGTTTTTATCAATTTTAATTACACATATTTATATTTTGCAGAAGTTATTGCTATAACTGTTGTCAATAAAATTCTAAGAATGAACAATACAAGAAAAAAGTTTTATCTTTTATATAGGTCAATACATCAACTATATTATTTACTTCTGTTTGTAGAGTTCATTTACTTTTTTATTTTTAAATTTCTAATTCTGACAAGATATCACGTCAATCAAGATTCCTCCCTTTTTATTTTCCTTCGACAAATCACTCCTTAAATCCTTAATCCAAACATAACTATAATATATTAAATTATTCATTGGCCTGTTCCTATGTTTGGGCCTTAGGCCAATAACAGAGTCGGTTTTGGACAGAACGTGAACTAATCAATCATTTATTTTATATTCCATTGCGTTTCTTGACTGGAAAAAAACTACACACATGCAATTCCAATTCTAGAAAATTATTCTTATTCGATCCATTTTCTCATTTTTGTGTTTACTCATTTTGCTCGTTTATTGATGGTTTACGAAGTTTTTGGCTATTATATTTTTCCACCCATCATTTATTGAAATACCTATTCATAATTGTCTTTATGCATATGATTTTTTCTTCCCCGAGGTTTTAATGTGTTTGTTTTTCCTATTGTTGGCTCAAATAATTTAAATTTCTTTTAAATCCTATTTGTACATATTCTGTATAAATCAACTTACAGCTCAATCAAATTCAAGATATCAAAATTGAATGAGCTCTTTTGCTTACCCCTATCTCTAACAGTGTGTGTGGTTAGGAGATTTGGGAAGGGATTTAGAAAGGGAAAGGGAAAAGGTGTGCGAAATTAAGTGAAATGTTTCCCAAATCTCCCAGCCAAACACAGTGTAAAGGGGTGCAAGCACTTCACTTGCACTTCTCCTTATGTTTGAGTGTCTTAGATTGCACTATTTGTATCTCTAGAAACATTGTTATGTCACCACCTTCATATTCATAAATAAGCATTTCTACTCACAAATAAACAAAGCAGTTTTATTTTATTTTTTTAACTAAATGTTCTGTTTAAAAATTTAGAAATTTCCACAGATCTGTGAATGGTCTTGCCTTTTCATATACTAAAATCTTATAACAATGAATGAGTGTATTATGAGATTTACAAATTCTCTGTGTATGAATCATGAATTTGGGTAGAGATTTAAACAAACCATTCCTAAAATGCATGCATACTTAGCTTTTAAAGGTCATGATTGCTATCAATAGAAACAACCATGTCGGAAATTTTAGGAAAATGCTATCTACCCATAAATTTTACACCGAAAAGTATCCCAAAAGTGAGGTGTATGGTGCAGATTCAAAGTTGGTTTGATGTGAGTTCGCCCGGAATGAATGTGGTCTATCCTGCATATGTATTTTTTTGGTCTATCCTACATATGTATTTTTCTAGATGATTGTTCTAGGTATGTAGTATTGTTGAAAATTTTAACAAGTTGTGTTCTATATTACAATAAATTTCTATAAATCTAAGCATTCCTATAGGATTGACTGGGACCTTTGTGGCTATTCTTCAACCTGATCTCAAATGAGTAACTATATCTTAAAAAATTAGTTTCAAATTAATAATTAACAAACTGAGAGATGCATAGTTCATTATATCTAAAAGTGTGTGCAAGCTGTTGCAAGGAAACTCCAGGGTAGACTCGACAACTCAATGTTGGTAGGTACATTTCCCACTTTCTACTTTGTGTTCCTAAAAGGCCATTCCTTTGGCTTAAAGGATTTCAAAGTGCGCATTTTTGGGACTCAATACTTCTGTTGTGCTTCTGTAACAGGTTGAAGGATTCAAAACAAACTTAATTTACTTTGATTCATACCAAGCCACCTGCCTTGGAAAGTTTGTCACGGGTATGTCTAGATCATTTCACTCTATGTTGATACTAACTTTCCTTGTTGCAGCTTATGTTGATTCTAATTTGCCTTTGTTTGCAGTTCATTCATATCACTTTCTCAAAATGTGAATTCCGATGTCAGGTTAGTCTTCAAAACTAATTTTTGTTTATATCTATCAAAGTTATTGAATGGTCTCATCATGTTCAAATTTTTGGATGCGTATTTTTTGCTGCCTAGAAATCTAGTGAACCATAATGTAGTTAATTTCCTTTTGGTTGTTGTCTATGTGTTTTATTAGTTTATTTTCATGTCATACTCATCTGAGTGCATTGTTGCATTGTTTATACAACATATTCAATTTCACAAAAAAGTGGAACTAAAACTAAAACTGAAATTACTTGTAATGGGCACTAGGTTAGCACACTATATAAAGCGTGGATGTAATTTCAGCCCCATGAAATGTCTTTTACCATTCTTCTATTATGCTTGGGCATAATAACAAAAATCATTATGTATGTTTTCTATTGTGGTTTTTAAACGGGAAATCTGTGAAGTAGAGTTCTAGAATTGGGTTTTTCTCTTCAATATGGGATTTTGTTTTTTTTTTTTGTTTTTTGGGTAAGTCATAAAATAAATGCGAAGAATATACACATTTACGAGGGGCATACCCCAAGTAATACAACACATCTAACACAGCCCCCCAATGAGGGGGACACTAATAAAAAAACACAAACAAATCCTAGCTTAATCAGTGAAGTAGTTTTGGGAGAGAGAAAACTATGTACTTGTTTTGATCATAGCTTAACTTATTAGACAAGGAAGATCCAAGAAATAATAGGGATATGCATGCATTTAGGTGGTTGGTGATGGGCTGGTAGTATATTTTTAGTTCTTGGACATTATGTGGTTGCAAATTGCAATACAGTAAAGTTATTAAATCTACCTTTATAAGAATTCTGTTGGTCCATCAAGAGATGCCAAACCCCAGCCAACTATTTTGATTTAGTAATGCAACAGAATAGTAGGTGAAGTTCAGCATGATCATTAAGATGCACATTTTGCTTCAGTAATTAACACATGAGATTTGCAATTAAAATTCTACATGATTATTTCTATCATTTTTCAATATGCACATTTTTCTTTAATAATAAATTAAAAAAAAAAGAAATAAAAATTGTGATTAAATTTTTGTTTGTCACAGTCTATGAAGCACGGGTACAGGTACGAGTACAGGTACTGGTACGATACGGGTACGTCAATACGGTAAAATCTAAAAAAAGTAGGATACAGGTACGGCTTGGTACGCTTGTAAAGAAATATTTATTTTTAATTTAGAGTAATGCAAAAATTAATTAAATGGTTTAATTTGTTAAAATTCAACCTATAATTAACATTTAATGTCAGAAGTAAAGGTATAAATCAAAATTAAATGTCAATATATCAAATAACTTACAAACCATAATTTAATTTTAAAATCATGCTAAGCATAAAATTAAAAATAAAAAAGAAGTCTAGTGAAAGGAGTTTTATCTCTGTAGTAGAAGAAAATATTGTTTCAACTGAGGCACAGTACGGCTTGAGTGTATACTAGGTACGTTTCGGTATGTTAAAAATTAAGAAGAAATAATTTAGGTACATGTTTCGTGTAACCGGTACGTATGCAGAAGTACCATACGAGGTACCATACGCCGGTAAATACCCGGTACGGGTATGGCATGATTTTCAAAGTACCCATGCTTCATAGGTCACAGTAACTATTCCTATAATGTAGAATCAGGCTGTGTTTGGTGGAGCTTTGGAAACGTGATTTCACACCTTGGTTTGAGTTCTGTATTTGGTTAGAATTTTCAAAAATTGATACTCGGACGTCCGGCCGATTGACCGGAATTGTATTTGTTTTTTTTTTTTGGCAATTGGCACTTGTTATTTTTATATTTTAAATAAAAAATATTTTTGAAATTTTTTATGAGCTTTGAATAGAGTTTTGAGTTGTGTGTTTGGTTATGAGTTGTAAGTTTTTGAATCAAACAACTTTTCTAATTTCAAAAATTCAAAACTCATAACCAAACAAATTTTTTTTTTTCAAATCATAATTCCAAAACTCACAAACTCAAAATATAACTCTATTCTCAAATCATAATTCTAAAACTCTAAAGTATTTGAGGCTGGTATATTTTTAGTTCTTTTGCATGCATTTAGGTGGTTGGTGATGAGCTGGTATATTTTAGTTCTTGGACATTATGTGGTTGCAAATTGCAATACAGTAAAGTTTTTAAGTTATACAGTAAAGTTATTGATTCAAGTTTGATTCAGAGAGTGGCTGAGTTACTTGGGTGTGGTATGGAGACATTTCCGATGAAGTATTTGGGGCTTCCGCTGGGAGGTAACCCAAGGGGTGAAGTGTTTTGGAATCCGGTTGTGGAAAAGATAGGCAAAAGGTTAGAAGGATGGAGTAGGGCTTTACTATCCCGTGGGGGTAGGTACACTCTGGTTAAGACAGTGCTAAGTGGAATTCCAATTTATTTCATGTCTGTGTTTAAGATTCCAGTCAAGGTAGCAAAATCTATTGAGAAATTAATGAGGGATTTTCTATGGGAAGGGAAGATGAGGGTAGGAGGGATCATTTGGTGAATTGGGAAACGGTGTCCTTATCTAAGGAGAAAGGGGGTTTGGCCATTGGTAATATAGTGGCTAGAAACATGGCTCTGCTAGGCAAGTGGTTATGGCGATTTCCCAATGAGTGTGGTTCATTATGGCATGATGTTATTAAAAGTAAATATGGGATTCAAGTTAATGGTAGGGGCTTGCAGGTGGTCTCGAGGGGTAGCGGTCGAGCTCCTTGGAAGTCCATTTCTCAGATTTATCTAGTTTGGTCCGATTCATTTTTATGAGGTTGGGTAATGGGGAAATGGTCAAATTTTGGGAGGATGTTTGGGTGGGTTCGATGTCCTTGGCTGAGTTATATCCACTTCTATATGGTGTTTCTCATCTCATAATTGTTCTGTTGCATCTGTGGCGGGTTCTTTGGTGGTTCCTTTATCTTGGAATTTTAATTTCGCCCGAAAATGTTTCTTTTTCTCCAATGTTGAAGAATAGGTTGGTTTGGAATATTCATTCGTCGGAGTCTCTCACTTGTAAGTCCTTTCTTGATAAAATATTGATAATTCTCATGTTCCATTTCATAACAAGATTTGGAAGGCGTGTGCTCCTTTCAAGGTGAAAGTGTTCATGTGGATTTTGGTTCATGGGGGCACTCTGACCAATGATTCATTTGCAAAAGAGGAGAGCTTCGCGGTATCTTAATCGCAATGGTGCATCATGTGTTGTAGAAGTGGAGAATCTTTGGATCATCTCTTTTTGCATTGCTCGGTGGCTAGGTGTTTATGGCTTAGGGTGTGTGGTTTGGGTACTGTGATGTGGGTGGCCCCAAGAGGATGTGCTCAAATGTTATTATTTGATTTTCAAGTTTTTGGAAGATCAAAGAGAGCTAAAGTATTGTGGAGTGGTGTAGTCTTTGCAATTTTCTAGGTTGTTTGGTTGGAAAGAAATGCTCGGATTTTCGATGGAGTGGCCGGGATATAGATTACTTATGGGATAGGGTGAGATACTTGGCATCTTCTTGGCCTCGACGAGCTCAGTATTCCGGGAGATTAAGCTTTTTTTGCTTGCTTCGGATTGGGTGTCAGTTTGTTCTATGTAGAAGTTTTTGAATTTGGTATTTTTGTTTTTTTGTATTTTCTTTTCCTATTTTTGGTTTTTCCATTTCTGCTGTAAGTGGATATCTTATTCTTTTTTTTTCTTGGCCTTGAGCCTTAATAAATCTTGTTTGTTGCTGATCAAAAAAAAAAAAAAGGAAAAAAGTTATTAAATCTACCTTCATAAGAATTGTGTTGGTTCATCAAGAGATGCCAAACCCCAACCAATTTTGATTTAGTAATGCAAGAGAATAGTAGGTGAAGTTTTGCATGATAATTAAGATATGCACATTTTGCTTTAGTAATTAACACATGAGATTTGCAATTAAAATTATACATGATTATTTCTATCATTTTTCAATATGCACATTTTTCTTTAATAATAAATTAAAAAAAAAAAAAAAATTATTATTAAATTTTTCTTTGTCACAGTAACTATTCCTATAATGTAGAATCAGGCTGTGTTTAGTGGAGCTTTGGAAATGTGATTCCACACCTTGGTTTGAGTGCTGTATTCGGTTAGAATTTTCAAAAATTGATACCCGGGCGTCTGGGCAGTTGACCGGAATTGTATTTGTTTTTTTGTTTTGGCAATTGGCACCTGTTGTTTTTTTATTTTAAATAAAAAAAATTTGAAATTTTTTATGAGTTTTGAATAGAATTTTGAGTTGTGTGTTTGGTTATGAGTTGTAAGTTTTTGAATCAAACAACTTTTCTAATTTCAAAAATTCGAAACTCATAACCAAATAAATTTTCTCTTTTCAAATCATATTCCAAAACTCACAAACTCAAAATACAATTCTATTATCAAATCATAATTCTAAAACTCTACCAAACGCTACCTAAATCTTCCCTTTACAGAAGTTATTGTGCATATGTTTTATCAACAGACGTACACAAAATGCAAACATGAACACACTAGATATTTCCATTCATTATATTATTCTGTCTATAAATTTAAAGAGAGAACACTCCAAAAGAGAAATTTTTTTGTCATACTGTGAGTGCCACAATGCCTTCAATATTGTCCTTAATTTGCAATCGTACTATTCTACATCTTATAGAGATTGAAGAATCTGTGTGTCTATGTACACTCAGGCTTGCCGTGTTGTAGGATTCACCAAAGTATATGCAAACTGTGCGGTTCCTTACCTTGAGTGTCTTTTGGCGCTCCACAACTTGTAATTGAAATTGCTGCACAAAAAAACTTTTGGGGATAAAAAGGTACAAAAACGCCTCTGCTTGTCATTGGCAAGTATTACAACATGTTAAAGTGTAGATGTTTTTTATATTCTAACCATTCATGTTGTTCATCAATTGTGTATAATATCATCAAGCTTCACGAGTAAATTTACATTTTAGACATTTCTTGTCACGTGTGTGCTTATTATCTCATGGAAAAGCAAGCGCTTGATGTACGCTGATGATCTGAACTCATTAATTTATTTTGCATAAGATGCATTCGAATTAGTCATACGCATTATGATTAGAATCTGTTCCATATCACTTTGTTGCCAACATATATATGTGTATATATATATATATATATAACTACACTTTAATAGCACAAAAAATTGCGTTCTATTCAACATATCACTTTGTCACCAACACTTACAGTTTAGACTAATCACTGGGATGGATTGTAAATTAGATTAATTATTGGCTAAATTTAGGAGCAAATCCTTAGAAATTTGTTTGTTTCCCACTGAACTTTTGCTTTCGTTGTGTAGATATTTCAATGTGCAAGTGTCATCCAATTTGAATATCATCGGTTGCTCAACCTTTGAAGATGGTATCAGGTGGATGATTTAATGAGAGAAAAACTCCTTTCAGAAATGAGAATCTTCTCAAGAGAATGGGAAATTAATTTTTTATTTGGAGTTTATTTTTTATAGAAACATATACAACTCAACTTACTTTATTGGGAACTATTTATACCTGTCTTTGTGGTAATATTTTTGCACACAAGATCTTGGTCAATTTTCTGTTAACCCTAAAATAAGTTCAATTCATGGTGACATTATTTAGAGTTGGTTACACTGATATCTCTTAACAATCTC